TTTTTTTTTTTTTTTTTTTTGGCCACGCCGCTCGGCTTACAGGATCCTAGTTCCCCCAACCATGGATTGAACCCCGGCCCTCGTTGGTGAAACGCGGAGTCCTAACCACTGGACCGCCAGGGAATTCCCGGGGAGAATTCGTTTAATCTCAGTTAAATGTGACATGGACGTGACGATAATAAGACCTGCCTTCCACATTCCTTATGAACCTGTGAAAACAAAAGTGCTTAGAACAGCACCTGCCAATAGCATCGGGACTCAGGGAACATATGGCTCTTAGCAGGAGTTCTAGGTGAGGGCCAAGGTCAAAGCAAGCAAACTGGCAGGGATGGGGTGTGGGGAGGGTAAGGCCTGGAAAGCCCTGCCAACACCCCCCTGTCCCGACAGCCGCCACCTGGCCGTGCCCGGCTATGTTTCAGGAAGCCTTTCCCAAGGCAGGAGGCTGACCATATCCCTACAGGTGCTGCCTGTCCCACCCGATTCAAGTGTCAATTATGACCAAGATATGACTAACCGGAAATCAATGAAGGGGAATTTCAGAACTTGTTCGAAGATTTCTGTTTTTAAACTAGCGTTTATGTAGTGAGAAATGCTCCCACCCTGTACTCGGTGCCTTGTCAAGCGGGGGTGGCCCTGTTTTACCACCGAGGGACCAGGACCGATCCAAGGCTGCGCAGCTGGGAAGGGCTGGAGGTGGGTTTCCAGGCCAGCCTGTGTCCTGCCAGAGCCCATGCGCTTTCCACTTCCCCACCCTGCCTCCTACTGAGCATGGGACCAGCCAGAGTCAAGGTCAGGATCAAACTCCACATTTCCCGGGATAGCAGGAAAAGGCCGCATCCGAAGTGCCTGAACGTGGCTGAGTGGAGTGGTCGGGCATGCTCGGTGGAAATATCCTCTTGCCGACAATAACTGGATTCACAGAGCATCTTTTAGGTCATTGTTTCCTTCAGTGCTGAAGGGGCAGGTTAAGGGCCAGAGGGCCTGGCTCCAAGGTCAGGTCCACCGTTTCCCAGCTCTACAACTGTCAGAAAACTTGGCCACAGTTTCCTTGTGTATAAAACGGGGACACGGAGAATTACTGTCTAGGACCATGGCGAGGCTTCAGTGAATGGGACCACAGGGCACTCAGCACATCATCATTGTTCCCTAAGTATTAGTTATTTGTATGATTAGGTGCTAGTCGATGGCAAGGCTGTGAGGTAGGTGATGATAAAGAGAAAAACCTGCTCATCAAGAGCAAACGTGTTTGGGGTCACGGAGCGGGAGAGCAAGGGAGAGCAGGGGCTGGGCTCTCGGGGCCCCTGTCCCTCCCCTGGGGGACCGTGTTCCCCCAGGCTGGCCCACTTCCACAGGATATGCTCACCCCGGTGCACACACACCGCCATCCCATCTCGGAAGCTCACCTGTCCCATCGGGTGTTGTCTGTTGCTGCAGGCCACGCGGGCGGCGCTGGCCGCAGAGGAGCCTCGGGTGGACCGGCTGCAGGCCTGGCTGAAGGAGCTCATCGTGTTCCCCGAGGACCCGCAGCCCCTCGCGGGCAGCGTGATCTCTGCCATCCAGGAGCACCAGAGGTACCGGGCGGGCCGAGGGGGGTCCTGGACCTCATGCTCAGGGCCTCTGCCCATCTGACACCAGCTGCAGAGGGGGCTTGCATCCTCTTGCTGCCTGATAACAAATAGTTCTTGCTCTTATCAACGATTGGCCATTATAGGGTCTCACTGGGCTCAGGTACTGACCCCTTTTCAAAGTATTTTCCATTCTGCTCCCAGAAAGAGGCCTGAACTTTGCTTTTTTCCGTGCTATGTGGCCTCTTCACTTATTTCCATCAAGTCTCCTTATGCAGCTTCGCACGGGGGATGGGTCCCCTATGTAATGGTCCAAGGGGAGGGCTTTTCACTAGGCCAGCATTGTGTCCCGCTTGCTGACGGCTGTGCTGATGTAAGCGCTGGACCTGACTTCAGACCAGCCCCTACCTCCCTGTCCGCCCATGGGTTCGGGCGCGGCTAGGTCTCCAGCTTCTTAGCCCAGCAAAGACCAGCAGTTCAAATATCCACCCTGTGTGGAACTGGGCACAGTGTAAATTCAGAATCGGTACCTATTTTTACTACATGAGGCTCAGAGGTGTTTGGAACACAGCCCAACTGTCCCCGCCTCTGTAGCGCTTCTCATCCTCCTGCCTCTGATGCAGGGGTTTTCCTCGAGAAGGAACTCAGGGACCTCCTGCCTTGCCAGGTGACTCTCAGCCCACGGTGTGCACAGGCCCTACATGTGTACACCCAGAACAAGGGCCTGGATCCTCCACAAGATGCTGAGGTGGTGGTGAGGCTGAATCTCCTGTGCGTAAAGCGTGCCGTGGGACAGCGTGGCCGAGGTCTCCCTCCCCTTCGTTGCTCTTGTGGAGGTGGCAGTTATCTATGACTGGGTGCTAGACATTATATCTGTACCTATATATATATATGTATTTTTTTGGAAATGTAGTTGATTTACAACGTTTTGTTAGTTTCAGGTGTATAGCAAAGTGATGCGGTTATACACATATATTGTTTCTTTTTCAGATTCTTTTCCATTATAGGTTATTACAAGTTATGGAATATAGTTCCCTGTGCTATACAATGGACAGTATATTGGAAAAATTATCTGTAGAAATTATTTGGGCCTAAAGCAATGGCATCCTACTCAAGAAAGTATTTTTGTTTTGCTTCCGCGAGGTGCCTGGGGGCAGGCAGTACCAGCCTGGGGGCTCCATAATTTCTCTTCCAGGCTTGACTCTCTCCCTGGTCCAGAAGCCGGGCTGCAAGTCTGTTCGAGGACTGACCTACCTCCAGTGCCCTTTTGTCTGGACAGCGTAGGCCTCAGGGTCCCGTGGACAGCCCCGTAGTCTGTAGGAGAGGACAGTGCCCACCCTGGAAGCGGCACAAGCCAGGCGCTCTGGGTTCTGGGCAGCGGCCTTGCTCCTACACTGACCCGCTCTCTCCTCTCTCGGTTCCCCCTCCACGGCGCTCACAGCATGAAAGCCAAGAGCAGCAGGCTGCGTAATGCCGCGGGCGTGGACCTGTGGCGGCATTTCCAGCGGCCTCTGCAGGAGCTGCAGCTGTGGAGGGCTCTGGCCCAGAGGATCGTGGATGTCACCGCCAGCCTGCCGGACCCGCCCTCCATCCACACCTTCCTGCCGCAGATTGAGGTCTGCAAGGCTCTGTCGGGAGGGCTGATGGGTGCAGCTGGGGGAGGCCACCAGCCAAGCGTAGCATTTCAGCCGCCCCCGCAGGGACAGGCGTGTCTCTGGGTCCTCCAGATGTCTGGGTGGAGCCCACTGTACCCTGTCTGGTGAGTTCTAAGTGCACAGGAAATGTCAACACTTGTAGTTATCAGCGACAAGAGTCACCCTCAGTTCTTGGGGAGGAGGTGAAGCCTGGTGCCTGGTGTAGCTCCAGGGCTCTGCACTAATCTGCGCTCAGCCCTTCTCTTTAGGACCCTGCTGCAGGCAGTCCTCTGGTGGAAGCCTGAGCAGTGCTGAGAAACAGCAGGGTGTCAGGCCATTACCTTTATTGTGTGTCAGTTGGGGTGCATGTGACAAGTGACAGAAAACCTGATCAGTGGTGGCTTAAAACACAGAGACAGGACTTCCCTGGTGGCACAGCAGTTAAGAATCTGCCTGCCAACGCAGGGGACACGGGTTCGAGCCCCGGTTCCGGAAGATCCCACATGCCACGGAGCAACTAAGCCCGTGCGCCACAACTACTGAGCCTGTGCTCTAGAGCCCGCAAGCCACAACTTCTGAGCCCACACGCCTAGAGCCCGTGCTCTGCAACAAGAGAGGCCACCGCAATGAGAAACCCGTGCACCACAACGAAGAGTAGCCCCCGCTCACCTCAACTAGAGAAAGCCCGCGAGCAGCAACGAAGACCCAACGCGGCCAAAAAAATTAAATAATTAAACAAACAAACAAACAAACAAACACGGAGACTTTCAGGTCGTCCCAGAGCTGGCTTGATAGCTCAGCAGTATCTTCCAGGACCCAAGCTCTTTCCAGCTCTGAACCACGTCTGCCTTCATGGCCCCAAGGTGGGTGCCACCATTGCAAGTGTGCATCCTCACTGTGTATTTGAGCTCATGCTGTATAGTTGTATATTCAGATATTTTCAGTTGACACATATGAACTTTTTCTCAGCAGCCTTTAAAATGGTTCGATAAAGCCATCACTTTAAATGGCTGCAGAATATTCCACTTAGGGGCATGTCATTTTTTTTTTTTAAAGTTTCTGCACTTAGATTGTTTAGGTTCTTTCCAATTTTCATTGCCATAATTAGCATATGTTGATTATCTATGTACATGGATTTTTGTTTCCATTTCTACCATTCTCCTCATTTTACTGATGAGGGACTGGGGCCAGGGAGAAGTTAGGGAGCTTGTTCAAGGTCAGGCTGCTCAAGAGAGCAGAGCTGGGGCCAGAATGGTGGGTTCTAGACTCTTGTCTAATGTTCTTATCCATGTCTTCACTCTGGCTCCTGAAAATAGGTTTGCGAGGCATTCAGAACACTTATTATCATTTGACTGTTGAGAAAAACAAATGTCCCAGAGGGGAAGCCACTTGCTCGATGTGACACAGCCATTAAGTGACAGGGCTGGCTTTGACCCAGACCTGTCTAACTTTCCCCACTGCATCCCAACTATATTTCATCCTGTCCTTCCCACTAAGGCAGAAAGCAAACCGGGACCTCCTTGAAGCAGGAGAGAGGTCCTGTCTTTCTAGAGTATGACCCAGGACTCCCAGTGTGGGAATTTCACGGAGCAGTGGGTTGGAACACTTGGGGCCAGGACTTTGGTTTATTCACGTTTGGACGCTGTTTGCTGGCTGGGAGTATGTCTTTCATCACTCCCACCGGCCCACCTGGGCGGGATGGATTTCACAGGCCAGGGCTCAAGCTGCCAGCTCTCTCTTTTCTTGACTCAGCTCCTGCATCTAGCCTCAGAGCAGCCTGTGGATCTGCAAAGCTCCAGCCAAAAGCTGGGCGTGGCTGGTGTATTAGTTCCCTGGGGCTGTTGTAACAAAGCGCCAAAAACTGGTGGCTTAAAACAACAGAAGTTCATTCTCTCAAAGTTCTGGAAGCTGGAAGTCCAAAGTCAAGGTGTCAGGAGGGCCTTACTCTTTCCAGTGGCCCTAGGGCAGAATCCTCCTTTGCCTCTTCTAGCTTCTGGTATTTGCTGGGAGTCGCTGGTGTTCACTGGCTTGTAGGTCCACCACTGTGATCTCCGTGTCTGTCATCACGTGGCCGTCTTCTTCCCATGAGTCTTCTATTTTTTTCCCACCATATCTTTTTTGAAGGACACAATTCAACACATAACAGTTGGTTAAATAATAATGGCTGAGAAGATCTGTCTCTTATGGTGTGTTCACTGTGGGTCCTGCAGTATATTAAATGCTTTCTAGGCATTTAAGCCCACGGCATCCCCGTGAGCTAGGGTGAGACTACCCCTAATTTACCCATGAGGAAACCGAGGCTTGGAATTGCCCAAGTTCTCCCAGTTAGTATGGAATCCAAACTCATGATTGCAACTCCCCAGCCTGAATTCTTGACATTCATGATATTGTGTCTGAGTCTGGTGAAAAGGGGGTGAAGGTGACTCCCTACAGCCAGAGGCTTGACCTCTGTGTAGCTAATTGCAAACCACACACCTGGGCTGGGGTCTTAGTTCTCCCTCTCCCAGCCCCGTGCCCAGCTCAGCATCTCTGTAACATCATCAGATATCAAATGGAAGGACTCTGGCCAGCTGAAGACCAAACCCCTGGCCTCCAGGGCCCCTGTGCCCTCAGAGAAGCAAGAGGTATTTGTCCCCAACAGCTTGTTGATCAGCAGGAGCCTGAAGTGGGGAACAAGGCTTTGGGGGCAGGAAGAGTACATGTAGGCTGGGAATGTGGTCAGGGGAGGCTTCCTGGAGGAGGTGGGGCCTGGGCTGTGCAGAGTTCAGGCTGCCGGCTTAGGCAGGAGTCAGCTGCCCATTACACAGGGCTTCTGAGTCCCCTTTTCCTCCCCTCTCTGCCCGGTGAGCTCCTACACATCACGACTTCACTCAGGTGCCACCTCCTCTGGGAAGCCTTCCAGAATTTCCTCTGATCATGATCCCATAGGCCCTTAGCCCCTTCGAAATGTCCCATACACCAACTGGGGGATGGCCCACTGCTGTCGGTGATAGAGGATCACTGAGTAGAGGGTCAGACTGGTTAGTTTGGGGTTCGGCTGCAGTGTGGACAGTCGATTTCGGGGGGCGGCTGGGAGGCAGCAGGCGGTCAGGAGCTTCTGGAGTTCAGGTGAGCACAGTCAGTGGTGGGGGATGGAGAGGGGACAGATTTCCGGAACACGTAGGAGGTAGAATTCTTGCTCAGGCTTTGGTTATAAGATGGATGTGGAGGTGAGAGAGGAATCAGATTGACCCTGACATTCAAGGCCTCCTACCGCCCTCCTGCCAGCCTGTTTCTCCTTACGTTTGCTGCTTCCTTGGAAACCAGCACCAAGGCCCAGCCTCCTGAGCAGGCACAGCCAGAACAGGTGCGCTCCTGGCCCCATCTCCAGCCTCATCCTGCCCTGCAGTTCACGGAGACCCTGTCTCCCCTAGGCGGCCCTGGCGGAAAGCTCCCGCCTGAAGGAGGAGCTGACGATGCTGCAGCTGAAGAAAGACCTGCTGGGCGGCATCTTTGGCCAGGAGAGAGCCACGGCCCTGCTGGATCAGGTGGCAACTTCCGTGAGGGACAGAGACTTACTGCACAACCGACTTCTGCAGAGAAAGAGCAAACTGCAGGTGAGCCCCGCTGGCGGCCCTCAGCCGTCGACCCGGCCCTCCAGGAAGGGCAGCCCTGCATCCTGACCCCAGCTCTGCCACTGGCCACCACGTGGCCCTGGACATATCGCTTTGTCCCCCACGACCTCAGGCCCCTCATCTATCATCTGGGTAGGATTATGGCGCGATCCTTCTCACCCGTCGGCCTCCCACCTCTGCCCCCAAATTCCCTTCTTCACTGATCAAGTCGAACTGTCTTCTGCAAAGAGCTGGGGACTGTCAGATGAGAAGACGCAGAGAAAAACACTTGTAGACTTTAAACCACTGGAGAGCTGGGAACTAGTATTATTAGGGACACTTCTAAACGGCCACACGAAATCAAAGACATAACATGGGATGTTGTGGCCAGTTTCTTTTAGGTAACAAATGTTTGCTGAGCATCTAATAATGATGATGATGAAAGAGATGGTCTCTGGGGCACTGACCAGGGGTCTGGCACCTGCTAAGAGCATTACATCCCTGGTCTGATCTAATCCACAGAGCAAACATGTAGCAAACATTTGAGGGTTCGCAGGGCAAGTGGTCTCTGTTGCAGCTTCTCAACTCTGCTGCTGTAGCATGAAAGCAGCTGTAAATGAATGGGTGTGGCTGTGTTCCAATAAAACTTTATTTATAAACACAGGCCCCTGCTGGGACTTGGGGTGTGTGGTAGGAGATGTAGTTTGTCAGCCCCTGTTCTAGAGGCAGAACAACTGTTAGGTGAGGACTCTACGGTCCTCAAGGAGGGGAGTCAAACACCCTCAAGGGCTCCAGGAAGGCTTCCTGGAGGGGGCGGCGCCTGAGTGAGTATGAGCCAGCCAGGAGAAGGCTGGAGATAGAGCAGCTAGTCTGTGAGTGTCAGGTTGTACCACAGGGAGCCTGAGAAGAGAGCTGATTTGTGTGCTGCCTGTTCTGTCTCCGCAGAGCTCACTCGCTCAACACAAAGATTTCGGAGCGGCTTTTGATCCCCTGCAGAGAAGGCTCTCAGACCTCCAAATCAGGGTCCACGCTGAGAATGGGCTTCAGCGGGACCTTCCTGGGAAACAGGCCCAGCTTTCGAGGTTGCAGGTAAGAGGTCTGTCGGGCCTGAGTCACCTCTACTCAGATACTCAGCTGTGCCTAGAAGCAGCCCCCTGCAGTAACAGTAACCAGCAAAGCAGCAGCCAGCCCGAGCCAGATATTTAGACCCTCCCGTGAGAACTGACCTTTCATCTCAAATGAATCTCTGCTGATATACCTGATGGTTCCTGGCCTCAGCAAGGCCTTTAGCACATCCAAATGGCTGATTCTTGAGCCTAACAAAATGATAGGCTGTCCTTTTGCTTACTCCATGGTTCCAAAGTCTAACATGAATATTTACTTTTAAAGTTGCTTCGCTAGTGTTCCTAATGAGTTCAGAGGCCTTCAGTTAAATAAATGATTTGGGAATTAAGAGTAAATGTTTGAAAACACATGGACTGTACGTAGGCTGATCATGAATAATTGTTGGCTACATGAGGAGCTTGCCGGTTTTTAAAATGCATGTGAAACAACAATTATCTTTTTAAAACCCAGGCACAGCTCATACATAACTGGGAGTGTTCTTTGGAAGGTATTAAAAATGATGCGTTTGGGGCTTTAAAACTAAAGCTGAGATGTGATTTTTCATATTAAGAGGTGGTCATCAAGTATGAGTCCAGACGTGAGTTTGTCCCCCAGAGATGCCTTCTGGTCTTTAGCAGTTTATTTTCATGGTGTCTCAGGATATTTTCATCTCATTTTAAAAATTCTCACCAGTCCTGAGAATGGGCCCATCAGGCAGCCATATGGTGCAGCGGATGGAGAGGGGGAGTCCCACGGTCCCGGGACCCTCCCAGTCTCTCCCACTCGGAGCCCCCGCCCTGATCAGCTTCCACAAGAAGAAGCGGAAAGCTCCACTCATTCCTTCCTCTCCTGCAGGGGCTACAGGAGGAGGGGCTGGATCTGGGGGTGCAGGTGGAGGCCATGAGGCCTCTCGTCCAGGGTCACTCCCACCACCAGCACAGAATGGACCAGCTCTCCTCTGACCACCAGACCCTGCACAGGTCTCTGGAGGTAAGGGGCCAGCGGGGGGGGTCTGTGCTGTGACAGACATCTGACACTCCTGGGGACTTTCTCCCTCTTTTCTTCCGTCGTTCCTTCCAACCCTTCTTTTTCTTTCTCCCTTCCTTTCTTCCCTTCCTCATTCATTCAGGAGCATCTCAATTACTGAGCACCTCCTGTATGCCAGGCAGTGTTCTGGGCTCTAAGGATTGAGGCAGCACGAGCAGGACAGCCAAGGCCCCTGCTCTCCTGGGTTTAAGTTCTGGTGGGTAGATGGACAACGGAGTCAGCAACAAGTTAAGCATACCATTCCACATGTGCCAGGAGGCCAAAGCATGGACCAGGCTGTACACACGCAGCAGTCCCAGTCACGTTTGCGGCGGTAACGCCAGGTTGAAAGGTGGGTCCTGGTGGCCGTAAGCCCCATATGCAGTGCCCTCTAGTGGCCACCTGGATCTTGCTGGGGTCCACGCAGGATCGATGCCCCTTTGGTGGTGGGACGGCCAGTAGGTGTGGGTAGTGGGATGGCTCCTTCAAAACTGGCCTGAGGACAAGTTGAAATGCAGGCTCCAGCCCCACCCTGACACTGATTTAAATGGCGTCCTGGGTCTGCATTTGTAACAAATGCCCCCCCCCCCCCCCC